TACTGTTCAATAAGAGCTTCATTCTTCTTATACAATTGATTATATAAGTTCTAAATTTCAATTATATTATCATATGCCTTATGTAATTAATTTTTTAGATTTTCTATTTCAGTTTGTTGATCTTCTACATACTGCTGCATTCATATAATTTGGTTATTAATATTTATTATTGATTGCAATTTCTGTTGATATTCTAGCCAAATAGACTTAAAAAGATTTTTCATTTTCTCAAATTCAGTTTCTATATTTACCAAACCAGTATCACTATAATAAGTGAATAAATCAAGTTTAGATTGAACTTCTCTGCTTACCTAACTAAAATATACAAGACACTAATAATAAAGATCAGTAGCAATGATTTAATTATAATACTTCTTACAAAGTAAATAAGAACTTAAATCAGATGAAGTTTAATAAGTTCAGGAAGATAATTATAATAATGTGCAAGTTGCTTAGCTGTTTTCAGATTGCTTGCCTGTCTTCAAGTTTGTCATTCTTTGTTTTCACAAACTCTTAAACTAGTAGTATCTTTATACTTGCGAACTAGCTTCACAAAAAGACATAGAAACTCTTCACTTGCTTTTTGTAGGTAGACACTAGTTGAAATATTGTTAAAATAAAATTAGTTAGCTTGTTCTTTAGCCAAATACATTATAAAATCCTTAGTTTTTACATCTCATTTACTTTTTCAAATCATGCTGATTATTACTGATTATTAATGATTATAAAAACTAGATGCTCTTTACTATCTATTCATATGATTTTTACCTGTGATACTAATATTAAAAAAATTTCACAAAGAATGCAGGTGTAAAAGTATATTAAGTCAATCAAATTTAAATATTTTGCACATTGATTATTCTAAAACTCATTTCCTTTTTTGGTATATTCCCTGACTGTATAGTGGAAATAGTAATTTCTTTAAAAAAATGCATTACATGGCAAGAAAAAATAATATAAAAAGAAATACATTATAAAATATATAATAGATAAACTTTTAATTAAGCTAAAAAAAATATAAATAGATTTGATATCATACAAAGAACAAACAAATCTTTAAAAAAAAATTCAAAAAATGATTATTGTAATAATATGTAAAGAACTAAAAAAAAAGAAAAAACCTAAATCCATTTATATATGTTATATATGACAATCTTTAGGAAAGTAGAAACAGAAGAAATAGAAATAAATGAAAAATTAATTAAAAACCTAATTTTAATGAAAATATAAGACAGATTAACACAACTTCTAAGTATAAATCAAAACAATAACTTGCAAATCCAGTAACAAAAACAACTTGTGATACTTTCTACAAATAAGTTTAAAGAATACAATATGAAAAATTAATGAATAAAAAAAAGAAAAAATAACAAGCAAAATGAAAAAAAAGTGAAAAAAAGAACCTAACCAAAAAAAAAAACAAATCAACAAGAAATAAAAGAAGAAAAGAAACAAGTAAAAGAAAAAGAAAAGACAATGTTGGAGCTTGTTATGGAAGAAAGAAAACCCTTTCATTATGAACTTTAAACAGTCAGACAAGCAACCTGTCTCATTGTGTCTTATTGTCCAATTACCAACACTGATTGATATCCGTAGTAAACAAATGTCCAGATAAATTCAGATTGGATACTTGGATAACGGATTACGGATATCTGGATAAACGATTAATGGATTGCAACTCTAGAAGTTATACAATTCATAGATTTTACATATGCTTATGCAATAGCAAACTTTAGTAAACCTTGAAGCTTGCCTGTGAGATGAATTAAAAATCTTGTAGCGTAATGAATAAAAATTTAAGTACTGAATTATATGCTAAATATCATGAACTTACTTGCAATTTGAAAATCAGTAACCTACTGTTAAAATTACTACTCATTATCAAAACTGTGAACACGCTTACCACTAAAATCGTTAAATTATGAATTTACTCTCTGTTGAAATTATCAAGCATGGTTGGGCGGCAACTATAATCAGAGATCAAAGCAGATTGAACTGTAGGGATGCAAATAGTCTTGTCTGGCTCAACCTGATCCGTTTAGTCTGGTTCACTTTAACACTGTTTTTTAAATAGCAAAAAAACTTTGAAATATTAAATTTCATCGTATGGGAGTTTATGAACCTCCATAAAAAAAATAGAAAATTTCTAATTGTACACGGGGTGTTATATACACTGGTATTAATTAATTATCTTGTAAGATAAAATTATAAACCAAAAAATTAAGTCCGATTTAAAGTTAGAGTAAGGTTAGCTTTAGGGCTAGAAAGGTCATAGTTTATACTAAAATTTTACGAGAAATATTTTTTGTTAGGAATCTAAAAGCTGTTTTATTATTATAATTTTGAAATATCAATATATCCGTGTTTTACGTATACACTAGTGTTCAAATAGAAATTGCCAAAAAAATATATAATTCACTGCGATTTTCATAGTGGAAATATACTAATCAACAAAGATTCCAGATTAATTCTCCATGTGCAAAAATCGCTGACTTTGGAAGAAATATACCATAAATGCGACATCGAATCGATGTTATATATGGAATAATTCCATATGTAGCACCTGAACACTAAATAATTTGATATCTATAACCTAGGGTTGATTACCGTATACTACCGTAAATAAGCACCACACCCTCTACCCCATTTTTTTAAATGTCAGATTAACGGACATCGCAATTAGATCTTTATCCAAGTTATTTCCGCTAATCTGGCATTTAAAAAAATGGGGTAGAGGGAGTGGTGCTTATTTACGGTAGAATACGGTATATGGGAGATGACGAGCGGGCATAAACTTTTTTGTGATCGAGAACATGATACTGATCTTATTTTTGCGATTCTGGATGGTCTTCGTCCTGATTTCATTGGTGTTCCAAAAAAATCGATTACTTTCCAACTAATCGATTTAACTACCCGACAAAATTTTGCAGTCACATGATGATCGACGACAAATTATCCAATTGTTAATCACTATTTGGTTCAAAACAAACGTTCGTTTTGTCAAAAATCGCTTATTTCTCAAAAAGCTGCATAAGAAATCACCGTCTGCGCATTAGCAAAAAGTTTTCCTTGAGCGATTTTGATATTAGGATTCCTAAAAATCCTATTAAAACATAGACCCTACTCTAACTTAAAGAATTTTTGTCGATATCACATGACTGCAAAATTTTGTTGGCGATCCTGGGTAAGATAATCGATTTGATAATGTCACATGATATGAAAATCGATTAATTACCTAAAATTTTTCTTACTCGTTTAATCGTTTAATTTGGCCGGCATTAAAATAATTCCGGCCCACGACCAACATAATTCTGCCCGGAATTATGAAGCAATTTTTAAAGGTTAAACGGTTCCAATCCCTAGTTGAACTATAGTTGGAAATTTATCTATTGGCAAAATTTTACTAATGGCACCATGTTAGATATCTAACGTTCTCAATGTTCTCAAGAGCATTCAAAGAAATTTAAAAAACATTGTATTTAAAAATTATGTTCTCTTTTGGGAACTAAGACCATAAATTTATAATTTATGTTCTCATACGTAAAATGCGTATATAGAAAATATACAATTTTTTTTTTGTATCATTAAGATCATAAAATGTTTATGAGACATAAAATTATCAATTTATGTTCTCAAAGAACAAAAAAAAAATTTCAGATATTTAACACTGAATGGTACCCCTAAAGAACTTGATATCAAGTTCGAAATAAATCAGAAATTAAAAAATAACGAAAATGAGCCATTTCTTTCCGAAATTACTTTTCAAACTTATATTCAAATGTAACAGGTAAATATGATAAATAAATTTATTTATTGTAGTCTTGAAAATAAATCAAAATAAATATTAATACGTATATATTTACTTTAAATACTTCGAAATAAATATCAGTTCATCAAGTAGTGGTAATTTAACCTAACTTTACCTTCAATTATTGGTTAGTGATTTTATTGACTAAGTCACTTTTTTTTAGCAGATTACATCTCTCGAGAAACTGGTTTGGATGTACTAAGGTCGAGCCTCATGGTCATGTGATCCAATTAAAGAGGCACTGAAAATATATTTCAAGTTACTGGTGGTACCCATTTTAGGTTCAACTCGTGTTACTCTGTTACAATTATTTTAACCAAAGTATTACTAGTGGTCTTTATTTTTTTTACAAAGGGTTTATAAAAGGAGCATTGAAATTTTGTGTTGCAGATTTGTGGATTATGTTTTTATTATCTGTAAAATATTTCACTATCACTAATAATAAAAAATATTTTGATTATATAAATGAAATTATAATAATAAAGATGGTGTTTCAAAATTTAAGTACTTGTTTATTTTTAATCTTGGTATCCAACTAAATGTATGCTTCAGTAATTCCAAAAAGGTGAAGTAATAATAATGCAGTAATATGGTAATGTGATTATAAGTATGTGAGGTAATGAAGTAATCGTAATTCTTTTGTAATAAGTTAATTGGTAACATTTTGATTAATTGATGTTAATTCTTGGTCAATAAATGCCTTAATTGTCCTAAGGAGTGTTGTAATAATCATTATAAGGATATGAGATTCCAAAATTTAAAATGAGATTGGAATGTTTCAGTAGCAATTTTATAAGGGTTAATCGATGTGGTATTTTGATGGTTTGGCATTAGTCCTTGGCTATCGAACACATCAGAAGTTCCAAAAGAAGGAATAGTGTAAATATATGTAGTTGCAAAGTTAAATAAGTGGATTGAAATTCTTCAGCAGTAGTTTAATTGGTGTAATATTTTAATTATTTTGTACTTGATCTTGGTCAATAAATGCTTCGGCCGTTCCAAAAAGGGTATAAGGATGCGAAGTTTCAAATTTAATAAAGAGAATTGGAATTATTCAGTAGCAATCTTGTAAGAGTTGAATGGTGTGATATTTTGATTATTTAACATTAGTCCTTGGCTAATGAACACCTTGGTAGTTCCAAAAAAAGGAATAGTGCAAGCATGTGCGATTCCAAATTCTTCATTAGTAGTTTCATAAAAAGTAATATTTTTGATTATTTAGTGCTGGTTCATTGTTAATAAATGCCTCAGTAGTTCTAGAAGGGGCTATAATAGCGTCGTAATAAGGATGATTTAATGAACAGAATTGGAATTCTTCAGTGGCGCTCTCATAAGAGTTAATTAACGCGGTATTTGGATTATTATTTGACATTATTCCTTGACCAATAAATGCATCAGTAGTTCTGAAAGAAGGAATAGTATAAGCGGGTGTGGCTTCAATGTTTGAATAGAAGGATTGAAATTCTTCATTAATTTATTAAGGTTAATTGGTGTGGTATTTTGATTATTTGGTGTTGATTCTTGATCAATAAATACATTTGTACTTATAAAAGGAGTTGTAATAATATTGTTATAAAGATGTGAAGTTCCAAAATTTAATGAGAAGAATCGGAATTCTTCAATATTAGGTTTATAAAAATTAACTTTAAAAGGAGATCGTAAGTTAAGAAATCTAGGCTTTGGACCGCGTTTTCCACCCAAAGTATAGGTACAATGAAGCCTGTGGTTTCTACAGTATACACATATGTCCTCTTTAGAAGGTTTTCGCATTTTCGGTGACTCTCTCGACAATTGTTACATGCTAAAGTTGTATTAGTGCGCAATCTTTGTGGTTTACTTGATTGAGACATTTGGAATTTTTAACACGTATTAAAAAAAAGCCGTTCAAAATTAAGCATTTTATAGTAAAATAATTTCACATTTTGATCTTAAGTACTAGTTTTTTTATCTTAAAAATACTAAAAAAAAACATTGGTTACACGGAATTAAATATTCAATTACGCCAGTAATATTGTAAAATTAGGAAAAAGTTAATTTAAACAGGAGCGACCGTTCGATTTCATAGATTGTTCCGATATGGTTACACAATTGATAAATACTTTTTTTTTTATACGTTTTACACTACTTCTTTAAAAGCTCGGGTAGCTTAACCTTCTATGAAACAAGAGTAAATTTAACGGATTAATTAATGCTTTCGCTTCGCCTTATAACATATTCTTTGAATCTCCATAAATTCCACAACTTTTCTTTTGCAACCTGATTGGCCGATTTACTAAAATTCGAGATACAATTAGTTATAACTATATCGGAATCATCTACGAATTTGAACGGTCGCTCCTGTTGGATCTTTATTCAATGTAAAGCTCAATAGAATCTTGTAATACAACCATATTTTTCTCATAATATTCTACGTACCAGATTAATTTGAGTTAAAAACTTGTAGATCTTTACAAAATAATTTACACATGACAAGATCCAATATGCGAGATTTCGAACACAGCAAATCATACACTTTGTCTCACTACGTTCCTGATATATTTGATTTTTATCTTGTATCAAAAAATATTTGGATAAATAAAATAAAATATGTAAATGACTGTTCTTTTTAAGGTTACAACGAATGTTTGATTTGTTACATTAAAGCACAAATTAATTTTTGTGCTGTGTACATATTTTATTATTGATATGCTTAATTTAATCGTCCATTTCACTGTTGTGACTTTCAATTCACTAATGTTAAAGAAAGTTGGAAAGGAAAAAACCTCAGTTCGCTTACTTTTTACTCAAACAGCCTAGAAATATGCTTGCGACAACTGATTGCTCAGCATATAGCTGGGTCCGAAAACTACAAACTTCCCAAAAGATAACTATTATAGGAAATGAAAATTTTAATAAGTTACCGAATGAAACGGAAAGGATTCTTGTTGACAAAAAAGTAATATTAGTTTTATTACCGAATGATGAATATAATAATGCGGATGTTACCAGATTAGAAGTTGAGGTCTGTAATAAAAATAAAAACATAATTTTTTATTTTCCATGAGTGGTGAGGCTTTGTATATCGAGAAACTTAATTAATATACGAGCCCAATTAATAAAAATAAAATAACTAACGCTAATATATATATTTATTATAGCTTAAACAAATTGATCATGAAAATGTGCTGAAAGTATTCGGTCTTACATTCGGTAAGTGCATCATAAAGTAAATGTTAAAATAGCAGAATTAACCTTACAATTTATAAAAATATAATATAGAAAACATGAATTATTATATCGTACGTGAATATGCAAATAATGGGAACTTGCGTGATTTTCTCAGGAAAAAGCATTCATCAAATGATTCACTCTTGTGGAGCGAAAAGCTAACACTGGCATATCAGGTGGCAAAAGGTTTGAAGTTTCTTCATGATATTGGAATTGTTCACCCAGAACTGGTACGCACATAATATATATTTGTTACTTACGAATATCTGGTACTGAAATTTCACATAATAATAATATAGTCATATGATATTTGACATATCCAAATTCGATAGAGTATAGGTGAATTTTCCATACGTGTATTAATAATTATATAGCAATGTTGGCCTTGAACATATGTACAAAATTTTGAATTTATCTGGACATATAAGATTTATGTCCAATTTATACATGTGGCCGAAATGTTCAAAGTAAAGTTATCAATAATTTCTAAATATGATAGTCTTCATATATGTTAATACAGATCCGCAGAACCTTATGCAAGCCTTTTCTCATTTCGGCAAGACCTTTTGGTATTCCGGCAGGCTTTGGAATTTTCGAAAATCCGTACTTAATATACGGCCGAAATTTCCATAGTCTGCCGAAATACAAAAAAGGCTTGCGTAAGGTTTTGCGGATCTGGCTTTAACATATGTGAAGCCAAACTTCTATCATATTTACAAATTATTGATAATTTTGCTTTGAACATTTGCTAAGTGACCGAAATGTTCGAAACATTTCGGCCACATTTATAGTCCAATTGCCAATAAGCACAATTTTATATATTCAATAACATCAAATTGCAACATTGCCATATAATGAATCAGCATAAAACGGCGTCCCGAGACACAAATTTGAATAATGACAACACGCTTGATTGGAGTCAATCATCACATGTATGGAAATTTTCCTGAATCTTTGGTTATTTCCAAGATTCATACCCAAGCCAATCAGATAATAGCAGATCGGTCACGTGATGACAAAATCAACAGCACTTTTTGCAAAAATTTGTTCGAAGATATCTCGACAAATCTCAATGAAATTCGATGAAAATTTTTTTTAATTGAATTCTATTAAACCATAGAATTCAAATACAAAAAAGTTCATTGAAAAGTTGTCGTGATATTTTTGACCAAAGTCAGGTAAATTTTTATCGTGACTTACATTTTGAAGATATACCAACACAGCGTACACGTGACTAAATAATTCCCCAATACCCGCTGTGCAAAACATTCATTTTTGATACATATACACCTATTTTTTTGATTCATCTAAAACTAACCAATAATATTGTGTGTTATTATAGCAAAATTTAGTAAAAAGTAGAAGTATTAAAAATGAATGTGTCCCAGGTTATTCACGTGACTGATCTGCTAATATCTGATTGGTTGGAGCACGAATCTTGGGAACGAAATAAATTTCGTTGTTGTTTTTGGAAATATGTCCGGACACCATAATCCCGACATAATAAATCCCATAATAATTAGTGATACCATTGGGATAAAATTATCTGAAATACAAGACCATAACGTGAAATTTCTGTACACGTATAGGGTTTAGTTTTTCGAGTGCTTCCAAGTGAAAATCATAAAGTCTAAATATAGAATACATATACAGTATTTCGTAGTAATCTATATTAGACCTCCTGGTTTTGACCCATTTACTGTACACTTCCATAATAAGTAATGTTTATTTGGAAGTATACTTGATTTACTATATTTCTAATGATGATTAAAAAACTAAACTGCTATAAATAATTGTAAGCAACATAATGATAACTAAATTATAGCTTTCGATTATTATTTTTCTAGCACCCAATGAATATATTGATGCATAATTTAACTCCAAAAATAACCAATATCGGAATATCTAGATTTCGTACTTCTAAAAGTCTTCCGTTTACTCCGTACAGTCCTCCGCAACATTTGAGCAAATGCAAAACAAATGATAAAACAAAGTCAAATATTTACAGCTATGGTATTTTAATGTGGGAAATATCCAATAATGGTATTGGACCTTTTTGTGAAAAATACGATGAAATAAAGTTGGCAGTTGAAATAATTAATAATTCCAAGGAATCACCTATAAAAGGAACACCTCTTGAATATATTAGTTTATATAAAAAATGTTGGGACAAGAATCCAGGTTTGTCATTATACCATTATTTTTCTATTATATTATATATTCTAATATTTTTCATAATAACTGTACGTAGATAAAAGACCGAATTGTTCCGAAATCTTAGAAGAATTACAAAATATATCTTGTGACCTTGTATACTATAATATAATTGATGATGATGCTTCCATGGATATCGGTTTACCTGTCAATACTAGTGAAAGTGTTATCATTAAAGATTGTGTTTTAGATTTCAATGAGCTTGAAAATCAAATTGGTTGTTGGTATAACACTCTTAAAGATAACCCTGTCAATTGGAGACCAATCTATAAAGTGGACCTTGATAATAGCGATTATTATATTGTTTTTAATGGAGAAAATTCACTGACTCAGGACAATCAGTCTAAATTAATCATTGAATTTCCAAAACCACTAAGTGATAATAATTATCAGATTTTTGGAAATGTTGTAAAGAGAAATAATTATAAATCTTGGAAGAGAGTTCAAGAAGTAATCGTTACATTTGATCATATTGACCAACACAGATGTGTTTCACACATTCATAAAAGTGATAATATAAGGTACGTAAATTATATATATATATATATTACTGTATTTATTATTTTAATAATTATTTTTTTTTTAAAAAAAAAAGACTAAATAAAGATACAACAAAAATATTGTGGTTTGTGCTTGCTAAATCAGAAGGACACAATGAAAATGATTACAAAAACATCAAAAGTTCCTATGGAAGGCTTGAGATAAGTAGTATTCCAGCTGACATTTATTTGAAGACTGAAGGAATTTATACAGATTCTGTTCTTGTAACTTCATTTACGACTAAGTCACAAAATCACATTTCACTTTACAATATTAACGTCAAACGTTTGTTCGGCAATACAGTTGTATTAAAAATAAAAGACCTCATTAAAAACAGTTTAGTGCAAAATCTTCATGAGAAAATAATTATACATTGGTGCATGATTGATACAAATGGAAAGAATTTAGTAGATGATAATAACGAAGTATGCCCATGGAATTTATATGGAATTACATTTAATGAAAAATTAGGAAAAGTAGAAATTACGCCAATATATTATGGACCAAGTGACTTATCCATAACATTGGAAAAGGCAATTGAACAATATTATAAACAAAACAACGATACTCGAAAGACATTTATTAGATCCAAAGATGAGAAAAATCCTACAGCAATAAAATTCACTGGATACATTAAAGCTGCTGAAATACGTTGTGAAGAAGTCGAAAATAATACTCAGGAAATAATAAGATATTATGGAGAATCTGCTGATTGCGAAGATTCAAACCGAAAATTAACTTATAATACTCTTGAAGAAGTAGAAAAGTATTTTGGGTCTTTTATAAATGTTCAAAATTGGATTATTTTGGGTGCGCTTTTATATTGTGATGAAGATTTTAAAAATTTTAATGCTGAAAATGTAAAGACGTGGTCCATACAGATACCTATAAGAAAACCACTAGAAACTAAGGAGCCTAAGGAGCCACCTGGTAGAAGGGACAGGACCAAAGAAATTGCGTCGAACAATGATTTTGCATTGAAAATCCCCTATTCTGTCTCATATTTTTCGCTTAGGGAATTTCAGGATAACGACAATGTTATCCCTGAAATCGTCCCTTCTCACTCAATTGATGAGATTTTAAATTACAATGGTTGTAACTATATTCAATCTCTGAACTCCCTAGTAGATGAGATAAAAATCACCATTTTTAGGTTTATACAATTTCCAAAAAATTTGTCATTAACATGTAAATGTTGGAATAACATTACCAATGACTCACAGGCAAGAGCAGAATGGATCCTTTACCAATTTGGATGCGCTCATTCGCTTTTTCATGCGGTTCGACTTGGTCCAAGTTTTATAACCGTTTCTGTTGTCCAATCTATACTCGCTAAGGGTGGTATATTCTCACGTTATTTTGTACAAAGACTGTGTATGCATTTTGGTCGTTATGATAATAAACTTATCGAATTTAAAATAAAACACATGAGTCAAGCTGATGCGGAACGAATTCAGCGTCTTCAACAACAAAATAATGTTCCTTGGGGAAGCGATTTACCTATTCCAGTTTTTACTTATCTCATCACAGAAGCCTCAAAACGTTTTAATGAACAAGGACTTGTCTTAAAAGGGAATGACTTAGAACTTTTCCATTTCTATTCTGCAGGCCCTCATATTATAACGAACGCTCAGAATATACTAATGAAAAATATCGATTTAATCAAAACATTGATTTCTCAATTTAAATTTATACCATTTCCTCCAAGATCTGGAGCAAAGCAAACTAACTTACCCGAAGAATATCCTCCAAAAGATGGATATGAGAATAGCAGGCAATTAAATGTAATCGCTCGAGCGATTTTGATTCACAAAGAGTTGGTTAACATGTGGATCGATATAGGCTATTCTGATATATGTGAAGATATAAATGATCTTGTTCTGCAAGGTGCAATTTTAATTCTTTATCCACCTATGCCTACTAGTGAATGGGTTAGTCCGGATGTAAAAAAGGTCAATGGACGCCTCTCCGAATTCATTGAACTTGGATTTAAATTGTCTTACAGTCTTATCTGTGACATTTTCCAATTATTTGAACAAAGATTAGATGATGTTGGGGAAATTTTACTTGCCTCATTTATATCTCTCAAACAAGATCCTCATGAGTGCTTTTTTAAGAATTGTGTAACAGAGGCAATCAAGCCAGAACGAAATCTTAAAAAAACAAACTTGTTGGACTTTTTATATCGTAAAATGAATGAAAATCAGGAACAGCTGTTCTTAAACGCAATGAAATTTTATGGATTAGATAATTATTTGATTGATTATGATAAACTTGAAACATACGCTTCTTCCATAAGGGTTCTTACTTTATCTTCTACTTATTATCACTGGGCTCTTATGACATTTAAAGTCGATTCCCCCATAACATCTCTTTGTTTTAACGACATTTTACAAACAAGAATTAGTATTGACATCAGACGTCAAAATTCAAACATGACATTTAATAGAACAATCCAATGCGAAATTGAAATAGCATGCAATGTCTATAACATTTATTGCAATGCTGGAAATTTTTTCCTACCCAATTATATGGAATTGATTTGTCATGCATCAGAGATTGAAATACTTGGTCCATTATTTGAAGGTTATTTACCTGAATTGTACAATCTTCCGGTCACTTTTCCGTTCCCATTACCAATAGCTGAAGATGGAGGGGCTATTCAACCTTTACCACCAATTGTTGAAGATCCAAATAATCCTCCAAACTTCACTAAAAAAAATGCAAAAAAGACTCATCTGATACAATTAATTCGAGATTGGTCCGTTGAATTTGATAAGATAAATCGTGAAATCGAATCAAATAGAAATGAATTCACTAGGAATTTTAAAGATTATTTTCAAGTATTTATAAATTTGCTTAACAGGTAATAACACAGCATTAAATATTATTATATTATTTCATTTTATATGCTTAGAGATCATATTATTAACATCATACACAGTATTTGTTATAACCATTGAAATATCATTTATATATATGCATATTTTTTATTATTTGAGAAAGATGCTTAATTAATTCTAGTCTTGAAAGTATTTATGTATATTCTGTACTTATGGTGTAGGAAGTATATGTATACCATTTTTGATGGATTCAAAAAAAAAAATCAGAAAAATGGTATGATTGGTGATGCATAGATATTAATTGCAGTAGCACCTGGTTAAAGTGAAGTATGAGAGGAATGAAATCATTCTCGCTATCAGCGATGCAGACATAAATTACAGCAACACTTGGTTAAAATGATGGAAATTTAGAAGGTACGAAGCGAAGAATGAAAATGGCTCTAAATGTATTTTAGTCGTTAAATACTTTGGTAAAATCCATCAGGTTAAAGTGTGAAACCTAAAGATTATGTAATAATTCTATACAGAATTAACAACGATACATATATATCTTATATGCGTTATATTATAATTATATATACCTATGATTATTGGCTAGTTTCATGTATTAATAATAAAAAATTATATAACAAATAATAGTATACCTTCTTAAATAAATTCTTTGTAAATGCTAAACTATTGTGTCAGATGACTCTCTGTATGAGTTAGGATTAGATAAAAAATTATTGTATAATTTAGGCTAATTATTGCTGTTTATTTCATACCGATTTAATTTTGGGACTATTTTTTTGAAAAACTGTTACACGAAAGTTTACTCCCAAGTAACGTTGAAAAAGTAAAGCACTTGTAAGTCTTTCTTATAAAGCTGCATAATGAAGAGATCCATTTGAAATTTTTATTTACAAATAATGATTTTTTAAAATTAACATTACATGCTTTATACTTATGCAAGTAGTATATTAAAAAGGCTGTAATGTCATGGTTAGTAAGTAATAAAGAATTTAGAAATTTTTTATTTAATCTATTATTTGAATTCGCACTTGTTTTTCATTTAATGATATTGTAAAAAAAACATTACAAATTAAGCTGAAAAATGTTAGAAAAGCTTTATTATTAGTATCTATTCATTCTTGCAAGTGATAACTAATTTGTTAACAATAAGTCAATATGAGAACTATAATTTAAGAGATATATACTTTTTGTAAAATAAATTTACTAATTTCATTTTGGTGTTATCTTTATATAAGTAATATAATAAACAACAATGTCACTTATAAGCAAAAACTATTTGTTAGAGCAAGATATTAATTTTCAAAACTATTATATTTTTAGAAAAGCATTAAAAAAGTTATTAAAAAAGATTTTTTATAAATCTTTTGATTATGTTTAATTTAATAGTATATTTTTTCTTATCAAAAATAATTTTTTATTAGTTATAGAAACTATAACAAACAATAATTAAAAAAAACAATTTAAGTCAAAATAACAATTACTATAAACATATACTATTAATAAAAAATATATTATTATAGATGAAGTTATTTTACTTTTATATATAAGATGATACAATACAGAAAATATCTTATAGGTATATGCAGTATCCAAGAGGAAAGTATAGTTTCTGTTAAATATTGTCAAGAAACTATATTCTTTTTTGAGACAGTTCAGAAAAAATAATGTAGTGATAATAACTTTTATTCATTTACTAAGAAAAAAACAAATTTTACTTATAGAAATTATCTTAGAGAGGAAGTATCAATACAGTTTATAGTTAAAAGTTATTTATTAATATAATTACATTAGGTTTTTCTTAACTTATCTTAGCTTAAACCTAATTTAAAATAATTAGTAGATAGCACTTAAAGAAAATAGATGTATAATATCCTATTAAATATCAATAACTGTAACATTAATGTAATTAAAAATCTTTAATTTTTGAATTTTTGAATTTTTGATTTTATATATATAATAAAGTTTCTACTCTGAAGTTATTTTATTTTTTATTTATATAATGTTCAAGTAAAAACTTTTTATATATAGAATCATAAGTTCTAAAATTAAAGATTTCTAAACTACATTTGTGCTACAAATAGGCACCCAATGTGACATTACACATCCTATTTCCTGTAAATGCTATAGTTAACTATTTCAAATTAGGTTCTAGCTAGGATAGATTGGAGAAGACCTTTGAGTAATTGTCTGAACATTATTAAATACAAGAAGTTAATAAAAAACCTTGTGTGAACTATTTGATAATAAAAGAGTTCATATTTATAGTTTGATGAGAGATTGTTGTATTGTTTAAAGAATTTGATGATGTTGGTAAGTAAATTTTAGTGTGTTTAGATTTTGATGTAATGTTGCAAAATATTTTTTATTTATGTTGGTATGTGTTGCGAGTAGACCAGAAATCTTGATGAAACCAGTTTAATAGATCATTTGAAAGCTGAAGTAGAAGGGCATCAGTTTGTTTATTAATAAGTGCTTTGATATTTTCATAAATAGTAGAAGAAAAGGTCTTTGTAATAATATGTAAGATATGTTTGAATTAAGGATTTGATGTGTTAAGTGTGAAATTTAAAAGAATGTTTAATAAGGTTGTTAAAGTTATATTGGTAATTTTTAGTAATATTAGAGTATCTTGTATTGTATTTTTGATTGATTGTAGTATTACTAGGGCATAAAAATAAATGAAGAGTATCTTTAGTATTTGTACAGCAAGAGCAGTTTGGAATAGTATAGAGATATGGATAACAGATATTAAGATTTTGCATAGTAGGTAGATTATTAGTGAGAATTTTGATACAGAAGGAGTATTTTTGTAGATTATTTTCGAGAGAGGTGATGATTTTAAATTTTAATGACCATTTAATGTTTGTAATATTTTGAAAGAATTTTAAGTTTGACTATTTAACAATTTCTTGAATAGTTATAAAGTTTTTGATGAAGGTGTGAATTTTGATAGAAATTAAATAATTATTTCATATAAAATGGTTTGAGGTATTAAATTTTGAGTTGTTAATTTTGAGAATATGTTTTGTGGTTTCTTGTTTGGCAAGTGAATCTGCTTGGTTGTGAAAAGAGTCTGTAGAGTGTGATTTAATTTTATAAAGAGTAGTAGTAATGTTTTTGAGTTATTTAAGATAGTTAATATAGTGAATAATGTCTCAGTTTTTAGTTTGTATAGCTTTGGAGTTGGTAGTTGAGTTGAGATTTTTGATTGCAGTTATATTATTAATATAAATATTTAAAAGAATATTAGAAGAACTGTGAATAAGAAGGTGAAAATTGCCTCAAGCTTGATATGGGTTAAGTCAGAGTAAGATTGTAAAGCTGCATTAAATTTTATAGATGTATTATATTTATAAATCCATCCTATACCATATTTTGTTTCTGGAGTTTGTAGATTTTTGATTGATCTATTAGTATAGAAGTGTAGTTTATCTGTGTTAAGTTGGGAGATAAGATGATTTAGATCAATTAGTTACTTTTGATATAATAGTATGTTGATAAATTTTTGAATAAGTTGGGCTTCATATGATAAAAGAATTATTTGTAGTTGTATTGATGAAGATGATTGGGTAATAGTAGTACTGTGTATTTAAGTTAAAACTAAGATTTCTTTAAAATCAATTTGGATGATTATTGAATCTTTTAATTTGATAGCTGAGTTATAGAGTAGAAAAAATGAATAAAAATTTGGTATTGAGTGGTTAGTAGTTGGTAGTAATTGAGAGAATCCTGAAGTAAGCATAGAAATTTTAAAGAACAATAGTTGTTGTAGAGAGGTTTGTTAGGAAATATATATTGTTTGATTATTTGTATAATATATATAATAAAAGTAGTAAGAGTTTAAGAATGAAGATAGTGATATTAGTTTAATTGTATTCAGGAAAGTATTGATAAAAGGAGGTTTATGTGAGGCCAAGTTTGGATTATAGTATTAAATTGGTTTAGATGTAGAATTTGAGTAAACCATTTTGGCTGGCAACCTTTATTAGGTTTATTTGTACATAAGTAGATAATGTTTTATGTATGAATATTTTTGTTATTTGCAGTTGTGATTTGTTCTAAAAAGATAATTTTATTATTTCTAAGACTATTGATAATAGACATAGGTAGGTTGACAGAAAGGATGTCAAAAATAGTATAAGTATTTTTTGGTATTGATGATAGAAAGGATGTGATTTATAAAATTATTGAGGATAAGATTTCATTAAAGACTAGTTGAAAAAAATGAAAAAGTAAAGTATTATTTTGCATTTTTGATAGTAGTTAGTTAAGGTTTTTAATGAAAGTTGAGGTGATCATATTTTGGTAAACCATTCTTTAATTCGTTGGATGCCTATATTTTTAAAAATTGATAGTATGTTAAATATTCGTTCAGTATTAGCTGTATTGACTTTTTGAATAATGTTATTAAAGGTTGGTAAATTAAAGGTAAGTGGATTAGTGAGGATTATATTGTTAGTGTTTTTTGCTAAAGAGAGCATTTTTTTAGTATGAATAGTAAAAAGACAAGAAAATTTGGCTTGTGTATTTGTATGAACTAGAATAATTTGAAGTAGGTATTCTAATGAAGGTTGTAGAATTAAGTTGAAAAGTGATGAAATTTGTGAAGATATTATTTTTTTGTATCAAATAAGAGTAAGAAAGCTTTCAATTTTGTTTTGAATTTGGTTAAGAGTTGGTTTAGAAAATTCTTGGCCATTATAAAAAATACTAAGATATCGAATTATGTCTTGTGGTTTTCTAGGTGTAATGTTTTGTTGATTCATTGAGAGAGTGGAAGTTGGATTTAATATAAATTTGGATTTAATATACAGAAGGTCTGATTTGGTAGTATTAATTTCTATATTGTTGAATTTGTATAATTCAGAAGTATTATTTATAATGTTTTGCATTATATTTGCACTTTCACAATGCCAGATGGTATCATATATAAAAGCCAATGGTGGAAAGGATGTTGTATTGTTATGATATCGATAGGGGATTGATAT